ACAATAAAATGCATTTTTGTGCTTGTTCTAATGTATTGTGTTATCATGCGTGGCATAATTATCTGCTGTCAACAGTAATTCACTATTGTGGCTCTTCTAAAGTGATGGGTGCTATGGTAATGCAGAATGATGCATAGAGGACAGGTTGGAGTCCTGATGGAATTACTTTAAGTCTAACAAATCACTAGTATTCATTCAAATGTCACAGAGATAGAAAACACATGGTAACTGCTTGAACTGGTCAAACACATGCTCAAACAAGAGAAAACATCAGCCTGGCTTCATGCATGTCTGATCCAAATTTCTATCAATTTTGAAGCACTGCAACAACAACGTGAATGGATATAACATCACCTCATACAAAACTAAGGAATATTGGACTAAACCCTGTGCACTGATAAGACACAATGCCAAGTCATGTACTGGCCATATTTTCAACACTAGATAAGGCCATGCACAGAACACTGTTTAGGAATAACTAGGATTAAAAAGACTGAGTTCAAAAGGACAAGCTGTGTCTTAAACCCTCTTCACCGATCATATGTATCCTAGATGTGTGACTGATTCTACCTATCAAGATTACTGTCTGCAGCCCCACTGATGGCCTTGAAGTGGTCCCCTTTCTTGTGACCAAAACAAAAAAGTAATGACAAGGCCCCCTTCTGTTTAAAAATTCAAAAGAAAAGCTAGAGCATGGGTCTCCAACCCTGCTCCTGGAGAGCTACCATCCTGCAGATTTCATCATCAACCCCTATCAAATACACCTGAACCAGCTAATTAAGATGTTCAGGGTTACTTGATAATTACAGACAGGTGTGTTGGAGCAGGGTTGGAACTGAAGTCTGCAGGACGGTAGCTCTCCAGGAGCAGGGTTGGATATCACTTACATGCACCCTTTTTATCAGTGAACTGGAAAAGGGCCCGCTGCTGCCTATTGACCCCTGAGGTCAAGCTGGGATAAAGGTCAAGTGGACATACAAAACAGACCTGACTCCAGCCTACACCACTTCCCAGCCCCCTTTCCTTTGGTCCACAACCACCTGCTCAACAGATCCTCTGAGGGACTGAAACTTTAGGACATCTCTGCCGTGATATTGGCTTATCTTTCACTTCAGAGGAAATTAATTCCTGCTGGTGTTGATAATCCTCTGTCACTGAAGCACCTGATAGTGGACGCCTAAGACAGAGAGACTTCCTGTTCAGAGCTAACAACCAATCTCACTGACCTATTGGATTTACAACGTGATTGTCTTGGATATTGAGGCAGTGGAGAGGATGAGTTGAGGGAGGGATGGATAACAGACCTGGTGAAATCTACACTGAAATGAGCTGAAAGCATCTCTTCAGCTCTCTATGATCTCACCGTTCTCTTAAATGGACGGAAGCATAAAAGACTACTGACGGCCAGCCATGAAAAAAAGTCCTCTGATCTATGTTCAGATAATAGAAAAACAACTTATTAATTCCACTTCCATTCCACTTACACTTAAATATGAAATACATCTAATATAGCACACAACCAGCCCATAGTTTCTTAGATATAGTGCACTGGCAGGGTGAAGGCAAATCAACTACTCAGCCACATTGATTTGTTTGCCTGCAATGTTCTGTTTAATCATATTCCAAGATAAAAAAGAACATAGTTTTTGATTAAGCAATCGATTATCAAATGGCACATCAAATAATTCGTTTCCAAACTCTGGTCCTGTAGTACCCCAATACTGCCCATTTTGTATCCTTAAAGGAGACATGTTATGCCCCTTTTTACAATATGTAATATACGTTTCTGGTGTCCCCAGAATGTGTCTGTGAAGTTTCCGCTCAAAATACTCCACAGATCATTTATTATATCAATAAACACACACGGGTTAAAAAAACAGTCGGTTATGTCTGTGAAGGTAAACTTCTGGGAAATAAATTGCATAAGAAAAGTCAGATTTTCATGATATGTCACCTTTAATATAAAACACCAAAATCGACCTGAAATGGACTGTGAAAGATAAGAAAGTCACACAAAATGTGTCCTGTTAGGGGTGCTCCTAGACCAAAGTTGGGAGCCACTGCTTTAAACATCTATATCACTAATCTGTGAAATTTCAGGATGACCAAAAGCTATCTTACATTGTCCCAACAAATGCGGTTCATGAGTTTTGTTGGATCAGTGTGATAAACTTGTTGGTCAAGGGTGTCTGAACCTGATTCTGGAGGCCCATCTTCCTTCAGAGTTTAACACCAACCCCAATTAAACACACATGAACCAGCTAATTAAGGTCTTCGGGATTAATAGAACCTTCCAGGCAGGTGTGTTGGAGCAGGTATGTAGGAAGTTTGTCCACCAGGAACAGGACTGCTGTTGGTGTTTGTTGGGGCAGTACGAGAATGACGGTATGTAACTTTCTAAATCAAACAGACAGCTTTAGAATGGTTGAAATGTTAGCATTTGTTGGGGCAGTGTGATACACAAATACATCCAACTTTTGCACAGATGGTCTGTGTCTAATTTTGCATTTTTGACAACTTCAGCATCTTAATTTGCGTGATAAGCAAAGCAGAACAAACATCATTAGTCTGAGAAGTATACACAATATGAATGAAGACTAATCCAGTCACTAAGGGGCTTCTAGTTTAGCCACATTCATTAAAGGGATGAGAAGAAATCGGTACAGAAGCAGTTTGGGGGGAGGTATATAAAAAAAAATCCCGGCACTCCAAATCTGCATGGCGTTCATTAGGAGAGAAAACAGCCCAGTGTAATTAGGTTATCCTCACATTCAGTAACAGGCAGATTTACTCTTGAACTTTTCTGTTTAACAGCTGCTAAGCCGCCGCAGCCCTGGGGAAGAGACAGCGGCACCAGAGAGGATTTGGAGAGGATAGAAATGAAAACACATGAAAAAGAGAAGAAAGAAAGAGGGGAGAGGGGGAGTCATACCCCTGAATATTTGAATATGAAATAAAAAAATTTTTTTGTAATGACTGGAAGGGAAAGAGGTTAAGGGGGAAATCTTTGCAACTGAATTACGCACCAGCATAGAACAACAACCCACCAAAGCAGACAATTACACCAGTCTTAATGTGTCTGGAATCTGTGTAAATTGTAATAGGGTATTAGTTTCGGACCCTCAGTGTGAATGTGGTTCCATAACCCCTGTGGTTAAAACTAGCATGACCACATATGCAAGTGGGGTCATAGATGAAAGGACCATCAAGCTGCCAGCCGGCAGAGAATGGGGGGATTAAGATGAAACAATCAAAGTGCAACTGCAAGAGGCAGATGCAGGATTTGGGGTTGATGCTGTCCCTGATAAACATGCAGTAGCCTAGCCCAATTAAAATCAAGACGGCATCTTTCCTGGTAATGAGGCTGAAGAATCGGCTCAAAAAGCAATACAACATCAGAATCTGCAGGGACACATCTGAGATCAATGGCATAATGGGTCCAAACTAGATTTTAGGACTATCTACCTATACCACGATCTTGTAAATTCCATAAAGCAAAAATCTGTTTAACTCAAAGGTACACACAAGGTCAAGGTATTTGACAGAATTCAAGGCACAAAGAAATTCACCACTGTCTGTTTTTCTGCATGTGAATATCAAGTCAGAATGACTATTATCAATCTGCAGCTGGGACACCATCATCTCCTCCTGGTGCTCAGGTGGCCAATGGTACGAACTCATACATCATTACAGACAGTCTATGGACCTCTACAGCCCCTACATGGATTTGAGAAGTTTCATTTTGTTCTTTGCGAATGCCATGTTGTCATAAGTGTGAGGTGTGCTTATACAGTTTATATAAGTCTCTCTCTAAGCTTATACTGTATATATATTAGCCAAATGTCTTGTCTGCACAATGCTGAGAACTGTAAACATACTGTAATTTCCCCTCAGACATGCACAAATTGACTGTTTCCCGAATTAAACAAACATTGGTTTACTGTATATAGAGAAAATAGTGGCAAGGAGTACCCTAACTGTACCTGAAGGGTACTGTTTATAACTTATGGTAAATGTATTGTAAAAATTATTTTTATAGGGACACTTTTTTTTAACATCTGCACCTGCAACTCTGCATTTAGTGAGAAACAGTGTCACTCTGGCAAATAGGGGAAAACAAAACACTATAATTTCATTACCTTAAATGCCCTCTGTTTTCCTTTTAAAAGGACCAGAGAAAACAAACAGAGAGGGTGATAAAAGTAGATGTGGCACAGAAGTATTGTCCTTGTTTCTATAGTTCTTAGTGCACCACTCAAACTCAGAGCCACAATTGTACTGTTGTTATCCAGTCCAAGTTGGCTGAAATAGAGGACAATTAGACGACACCCTTTCCCCCTTTTCCAGCATTCCCACTCAAATTATGTGTTGTTCTGAGATCATGTATCAGACCTCGCCAGAGTAATGCAGGGTTTTTTTGTATTCTGAGCCTTGCATGAAACAATATATCTTCAGTTTCAGATATAAAAAGCATGACCTCCAGAACTACTTTGATGCATTCTCCTGTTTCCTGAGTCCATTACAATCCACTACATAACCGCAGGGTGACAACAGAGCCCTGCCTGCCTGCTCATCCAACTGTGCATCATCAGCACTAGTGTTACAGCTGAGCCAAGGTGAGCTGAGCCCAGTCGGCACACAGACTCACACATACGCACACACACACTCGGTGCAGTGATATCATAGTGGAGGCCGGTGGAATGACACAGTTGTTGGGGTTGCACAATTGCACCGGGCCAAACACATAGCCCTGAGGGGCACCCTTCCCTGCAAGCAGATACTCTGGATGGAATCACAGCAGTCAATATGTATGCTTACATACAACACACACACTGAGAATGCGACATGCATCTTTCTCCACTTATCACACAGGAACTCCAGAAGGCACATTTAGAGATGATGTAATTCAGATCCACACCTTTTCTCACGCACCACACAGTGTATACATGCACATATTCTGTAGCTGCACACTAGCATTCAGTGGCTGGCCCCCCTCTCACCTGCACCTGCATGAAGGAGCCCCTGTAGAAGCAGCAGGCTGCAGGAGCTATTTAGATGTGAGTTGTGCTTGGAAATAAAATGATGTTTTCTAGAAATGTAGTAAAAACATGCTAATGAGCCTCAGTCCTTAAATATTCCCTATCGGATACTACCCACACACGCACACATACTTACTCCAGATAAAATGAGGCTGACTCTGGCACAGCAGTCTAGGGTGGGGCGTTTGCTCCTTGGGGACTATTGTGACATGGGGAACTATTGTGACGCCTCGCTATGGCAACCAACACAAAGGTTTGACAGCAGCATCCTTAAAAGGAACAGTCCACCCCAAAAAATAAAATTCTGTCATTTACTCACCCTCAAATTGTTTCAAACAGGAACAGACTAAAATTTAAATTGTAATTCACAGAAAATTGTGCCATCCACGATAGATCTCAAATTTAGCTCTCATTTGTGCTTCTGCATATTCAAACTTTATGCATCAAGGCATGGCAGGCTGCATGTCTCATAACTAAATACTTGACATTTGAGAGCTAAAGTGGAGGAGGAAGAATATCAGTAAATAATGACTTAAATGTCAGTCTGTTAATCACAGGAAATCGTATGGCTTCAGAAGATGTGAAACACAGTACGCAAGTCGAATGGACTACAATTATGGAGTTTCTTTTTATACTTGGAGCTCAGCAGCATTAGTCCATTCACTTTCTACATAGAAAAGAGCAGTCTGAGCATTCTTTAAAACTTCTCCTTTTGTGTTCCATGGAAGAAAGTAACTGGTTTAAATATGTTTAATAATGACTTAAACTCTGCAGGATAGTGGCCCTCCAGGAGCAGGAATGGACACTCCTGCTTTAAATCCACCATCTAAATCCAGACAGCTGGTAAGTCATCTGCCTGGCTATAAGGATCACATCAGCATTTTGCGTCTATGTGCACATTTGGTTCACTAAAAAGCTTAGCTACTGAGCAGTGAAGCTTACAGCATCACCTAGGGAAGCCACACAATGAAAAAACAAAATATATAATTAGACGAGACCCATTCTGCAAAGAAATCTCACTGATGCTATTGTGCATTTGCAGATAATCCAGTAAGAACATGTACATTTCATGTTGAACGCTCATCAGCCTGAGACAATGGGAGGATGAATGTCAAGCTGATGCTATTAAAGAGTAAAAGATAGCATGTGGAGTAATCTGGTGCGTGGGTTAACGTCATGTGTTATGGTGTGTGTGTTTGCCTCATGAGATCATGGAATGAGAAAAGGATTTCATGTTATTACCACACATATGAGGAGTCTCACATGACACACACGTGGTGACAAACATATGGTGACCACAGACAGATATTTGTGAGAGATGAAATTACTGCTTAAATTGACTTTTTGTTGGTTGGTTTTGCTGTGGCCTTGTGGTACTATCAAGCATTGCTGTATTTATTTGAGTGTCCTGACCAGACCAACACAGCAATAATGGCTCAACCAATGGTGTGAGACTGGGGCAGGAATATCTGTTTGTTCCACAAATGGCAGATGGAGGGATGTGTTTGAAAACAGTCATTATTCTCCCAGTTCTATCCTATTGAAACCATGACTTTAGCATTGCTAGTGCTAGTGTTTAAGATTCAGGAACAGATCACTTCTGAAACTCTAAAGGAGAAACATATCTGAAAAGTAGTCTTTAGCAAAAGTTCATTTAATCTCATGGCTAGGAGATAAACAACTGAGACATTAAAGAGATCTTGATTTCCTACTTCTTTCCTGCTTCTCTGCCCTAGTTCTCTACTTTCTGTGTTTCCTCTCTATTTCTTGTTTTCGGTCTCATGCTGTTGTGTGTATCTATGCTGATTGTGGCTTTTCCTTCACAACTCCTCCTCAATCTTTCATTGAGTCTCTCTCTCAGTTAAATATTAACTACACAGTGAGTGTCCTGCAGGCAGGGTGCAGCAGTACAATGGAGAGGAGCTAGACCCTGTGAGGGAATTGATAATGAGGAGGTGGAGGGGGTTCGTCTTTACCTCCATGTGCCTACAGGCCCCCGAAACACCCTTACCTCCCCCTTCCAATTAACATTAATGAGCTTAGCCCCATTGGAATTCTGGGTATTGTAGTTGGCATGTGGTATGGCTTTTGTCCAAGTGTGTGCTGCTTTCGCTGATCAAGCAGTTCGGTCACTTGGTTTGATCTGTAGCAGTAATAGAAGACCATAAGAAGCATGTTAGCAAGTGAGGGCTAGTCAATTTACAGGGCTAATCAATGCAGAGCTGTGTAGCTGTGATTTGATTTAAAAATAATTACTGGCTGTTCTGTATGTATTTCCATGCTGAAAAACAGGAGGGAGGGGGAAAAGAGGGGTATTACAACCCCCATCTTTCACCAGATGGATCTTCATCAATTCATGGCCTGTCTTTCTTCACTAGCTGTTCTCCTCTCTACGGTATATCTCTGTCTTCTTATGCATCACTATTACTATTGCAATTTTTAAAACCCCTAACTATGAGAACTTGAATCATATGGCTTGTTCAGGAGAATTGCGCTGTTACTCTTCTAAGCACTCGGAATTTCGATTTTTGCCTGGTGCGCAATAAAAACATGCGAAACCACCCATATAATTACACTGAATGAAATACTGCTACTACTGGTAATACTTTGGATATACCATGTAAATACTGTGGTACAAAATAAGTACCATAGTACTGCTAGGGCAGATCAGCTTTGGTATATTTCAGTAGAATTTTCAGTAATACAATTACTGAAAGGAAACTGCTAACTGGTGTTAGCGGCTAGCAGAAAGGTTAAGAGTTCAATCCTAAGGTGCTGGGAAAGGTGTGAGATCTAGGAACAGCCAAGATAATGAGATGACAGCCCAGCAGAAAATAAACATCAGTATCAACGGCTGAAGGGAAGAACGCAATTCCGAACACCTCAAGAGATCACACGTGCCTGGGCCTCTGGGAACATTCTGTTCTGGAGTGAAGACTAATCGTGCATCTCTGTTTCCAGTTGAAAGAGCTGTTTTTTGCCATTACAGTGAACATTCAGGGCAGAGACTCATTTTTAACTCAGACACCATTAAAGTTTCATATTGTGGCGGAGAAGAGAGGGAAGGATGGCATCCAAGAAGTGGAGGGAAAGGAGGCTGTGCATCCAGTCAAACTACTAGAATAATCTACAGCAGCTGGTCAAATTAGACACATGCCAACATGGATAGGGTGTTTGACATGCCTCAAAAACGTCAAAAACCATGAATAAAACTACAAAAGGTTAAAAAAAAGTAAGTACTGTTGTGTTGCCACTTGATATGAAATGTAACATCTATGTGGGAATCAAACCGGTTCTATGTAGTTCGATTCCCAAACTCATGAAAAAGAACAAAGGTTCTTTTTAGTGATTCAGAAACATGCAAAACAGTGAGGAAAGAGTAGTCTGAACCAGAATACGAGAAGAAAAATGAAAGTGATGAAAGCAAGCAAGTCAAGACAGTCAAGACAACTCTTCTAATTTTACATCTTCATCTTACCTTCAACACACTTCACACTTCAAAGTGAAGACCAACTGATGAACAGCACTGTAAAAAATTATTGTGATTTTAACAGTAAAAGACTGTAAAAATGCTACAGTAAAAATCTGTTAATTGGTTATCAGTATAAGTTTCCATACTATATACGGTGAATAACTGTAATTACATTTAATGTAATTTTACAGTAAAATACTGTTAAAATTACGGTTTTTGGAAGTGAAAAAGAAAAAGTCATTGTATAATTTACAGTGAAAACCCGTAAATTGACACTCCCAGAATTCCCGGCAAGACACTTCATATTTTATGTTTTTTCGTTGAAATACTTGTTTCTTCTTAGATTTTTCGTATCAGTTGTGTACATTAGGGTTTTATCTTACAACTAATGTTGTTAAATTAATGTTTATTGCATTATTTCAGTATCGTGTGTTACCATGGTGGTGTTATGTGTTTGTGTGGATGACGCTGTGCACCTTCTATACATATATATATCAGTGGCAAGCGGTGACTTTTTTAACCGGGTATGCTGAGTGATAAGACCCAACCCCCCATTATTATTCATTATTATTCGAATGCAAGAAAAATACAGCTGGTTTTCCAAGTAAAAACCGCCAAATAACGTTTACACGTAGTTACGTTATGATACGTAATCAGAGGGTAGAGAGATGAGGGGGATTCCCCCTCTCTATATGTCTCTGCATCTGCTAAATGATTTTTTTATTCCCAGTGAATAAGAGTTAAAATTCCCACCCGGGTGACACTACTCCAATAACGTTTTATAAACATTTTTTTAATTTACCGCTTAGGCAATAACGTTTACAATAATCTTCAACATACGTTGTCTATGACCAAAAATGAAAGAAGATATGTTTTCAGTGGACTTTTAAAATTTGCTTTGCTTGAGAAAACAAAAATATACAGTTACAGTGTTTTTTTCTTTTGATTTAGTTCAGTTGGTTTTGCATCAAACACAATGTGATTTTCGGCAATCGAGATCTGACAGCAACAGCACATTTTTCCGCTTGGGCGAGTGCTTCGCTGACAGTTTACCTCGCGCATTAAATCTGCGGCAGACCAGCAAATCACTGAGAACGCGCTACAATCCTGAAGAGTCATAGCAACAGAGAAGAGGCGAGAAAGCTGCAGAGAATCCGCTCGCCCGGAAGCAACCGCAACTGGTAGATTTAAAGAAAATTACTGCCGTTTGGCAAATAAAACATTTTACGTACTTATTCCTAACTCTTTAAGCTACATTTCAAATGACAAGGGATCAACTTATAATCATGTTTATATGAATTATCCCGTGAACTTATTCTCTCAAATGGCCTGGGTATGCGGAGCATTCGCAGCTTATATGGACGGAACGCCACTGATATATATTAGTATATTCCTTCTCAGCTTGTGGAAGGGCTGTTTGTGATGAGTTTTGATTCATCAAGTGACTTTCTCATCACCACCTGGTTTTGGTGGTTATCAGTATTACAATGGTTCAAAACAGATATTATTATTTCAATATGC